AAATAAATAAATAAATAAATAAATAAATAAATAAATAAATAAATAAATAAATAAGAACTGTAGGCAGCCAAGAATGCTGACAGTGGGAGAAGTAGTCTTTTCCCCAGAGAAGAGCACACCAATTGATTATCCGATACCAAATGGACAGCCCTGAAAAAAACATACAGACAAGTAATTTTGTTATATGGGAAAAAACAAGCATTTTCTAATTACAGTAAAAGGACTTGTTTGGAAATGTGCCCCTTAGATGCCCATCGTCCATTTCCTAGGAAATTACTAGGACTTACTCTGCTGCTTGAAGGATATAAAGTGAGACATTCTAGTTAACTGCATAGAAATGAAAGGCAAGGAACAATTGGGAACTCATGAATACAAGCCTGGGAAAGATTGGTACCACTAACAATTTTAGAGTGGGTAGTGGAGACGGCTAAGTGGGTAAAGTGCTTGCTGTGCAAAACGTGAGGACCTGAGTTCAAATCCCCAAAACTTGTAAAAGCCATGTGCAACAATACACATAACCCCAGTTCTGTGTGGGCAGAGATAGGAGACCCAAGCTCTTGGTGAGTAGCCATTTTAGCCAAAATGATGAGCCATGGTTCAGGGAAAATTGTCTTTCAAAACAATAATATGGAGAGTAGTAAAGAAAGACTGGCCTGCTACACTCAACTAGAGAACACACACACAGTTCAGGTTTGGAAAGCATCAGCGTAGCAGAGTGTGCTCTTAAGATTTGTAGTCTAAGTTTTGGGGTGTCACACACCTTTAATCCCAGCACTAGGGAGGAAGAGGCAGGCAGGTCTCTGTGAGTTTGAGACCAGCCAGTTCTATAGAGGAATTCCAGGATAGCCGAGGCTACCCAGAGAATCCCTGTCTTAAAAAATAATAATAAATTAAAAAAATAAAAATAAAAAAGTATGATTTAAGCTTTAATAATGTTTCATTTACAAATGTAGGTGCTCTTGTATTTGTGGCATAGATATTCAGAACATGATATCCTCCTGGAGGATTTTTCCTTTGATGAGAATGAAGTGCCCTTCCTCATCTTTTTTGATTAATTTTGGTTGAAAGTCTATTTTATTAGATATTAGAATAGCTATCCCCACTTGTTTTCTGGGTCCATTTGCTTAAAAAACATTTTTCCAGCTCTTTGCTCTGAGGTAGTGTTTATCTTTGTTGCAGAGGTGTGTTTCTTGGATGCAGCAGAATGTTGGATCCTGTTTCTGTAACCATTCTGTTAGTCTGTGTCTTTTTATTGGAGAGTTGAGTCCATTGATGTTGATAGATAATAGCGACCACTGAATATTAGTTTCTTTTATTGTGGAATTGCTGGTGTTACTTTGTTTCATTGCTTGTTTTCTTTTAATTTTTTGTTGTGAAATTATCTATATCCTATGTTTTCTTGGGTGTAGTTGTTTTTGTTGGATTGGAGTTTCCCTTCTAGTATCTTCTGTATGGCTGGGTTGCTGAGTAGATATTGTTCAGGTTTAGAATTCTTTGTAGAGGAATATAGATTGACAGAGAAACACTTAAAGAAATGTGCAATGTCCTTAGTCATCAGGGAAATGCAAATCAAAACAACCTTAAGATTTCACCTCACACACATCAGAATGGCTAAGATCAAAATTCAAGTGACCATGCGTGCTGGAGAAGATGTGGAGAAAGGGGAACCCTCCTCCATTGCTGGTGGGAATGTATACTTGTACAACCACTTTGGAAATCAATCTGACGCTTTCTTAGACAATTAGGAATAGTGTTTCCTCAAAATCCAGCTATACCACTCCTAGGCATATACCCAAATTTTGCTCAAGTACATAACAAGGACATTTACTCAACCGTGTTCATAGCAGCTTTATTCATAATAGCCAGAAGCTAGAAACAACCCAGATATCCCTCAGTTGAGGAATGGATACAGAAATTTGATACATTTACACACTCAGCAATTAAAAACAAAGAAATCATGAAATTTTCAGGCAAATGGTGGGATCTAGAAAGATCATCCTGAGTGAGGTATCCTAGAAGCAGAAAGACACACACGGTATATACTCACTTATAAGTAGTAGGATAATCATACTAAAATCTGTACACTAAAGAAGCTAAGCAAGAAAGA